GGGGGGGGGAAGGAGACATATGTAATACTCTTTGTAATACTTTATGCAATAAAAAAAAAAAGAAACACTAAAAAATAATAATTCATTAATGCTTTTAGATAAACAAATTTTTTTATGTAGATCTGATATATACTCTTATTTCCACAATAAAGAAAAGCTATATGCAAAAAAACCCACACACACAAACTGATCATTCGCTGGCAGGCTCAGATCCACACAGCATTTCATCAACCTTGCAACCCTCAGGGCTCGCCTAGCCAGACCTGTTATTCTACTTTCCTACAGCAAGGCTTTTGTCCTCCTTCATTTAACAAGAAAGCAGTAGTTCTCCTTGGAGCTGGAATAAGGCAGGATCATGGGTATCCAGTTAGTGGTTTTAAAATCTAACTTACCTCTGGAAATCTTAGCAGGCTTTAAACCAAACAACGAAACAAATCAACACACACAGAGAAAGACTTTAGTGCTCAATTCACACACATATATATACATACAAACACATCTATAATAAATAAAAGCATAATATGCAAATCGACCTAATGGCTGAAAAGCAGAACAACCATCTGAACAACATGCTATGACACCTACTGGCGCCAGGCCAGCCAAGGTGGGTGCAATGCGATTGGTCAGGGACCTGGCCATCGCCCCATGATTGCCCTGCAGAGGGAGGCCCAGGCCACTGGCTGGCGGGGCAAACGATCAATTTGGGGGATCCATGATTTCACCAAAGAGGGAGGCAATCTGCGGCTGTGGCGGGTGGGTGGGGTCTCCCTCTGCGGGGGTGATCCATCGTGGAGCCCCGGCTGGATGGGCAGGGCCTACCTCTATGGGGTGATTGATTGTGGAGCTCCCAGACTGTGAGAGGGCACAGGCTGGGCTGAGGAATCCGCCTCGCCCCCCCCCCCCCCCGTGCACGAATTTCATGCACCCAGCCTCTAGTAAATAATAAAAAGGGAGAGGGATTAAAGCTATAAATATTAGCACCTCTGTCTCTCAGCTGAAGTTTAGATCATACACATTGGCAAAATACGGGTAAGGTCTTGTTCCAATCTGTTTGTTTGTCGGGATGCTCTAAGATTAAGGTTAGGGTTAAACCTCTCGGCAGACCAGACAATACTCAGGACTCTGCAAAAGGAAGCCAGCCATCTCCCAAGCCCAATACCTCTCTGGATCATCTCTGCCATTGCCTGGCAAGCTAGTATGGAGTTAGCACAGCCCATCCTAGGAATCCTTATTATCTTGTGTGAGACATACCTAGAGCTACCTAAGGAAAACATCTTGCTGCATCCCTAATAGTCTGGGGCAGGGGTGGGCAAACTTTTTGACTCGAGGGCCACAATGGGTTCTTAAACTGGACTCAGAAGAAGGAGCTGCAGCCGTGTTTCCCGACGTTGCCATGTTAACACGGCTGCTGGTGAAGGAGCGGAGGGGAGAGCAAGAGAACCCTCCACTCTTTCGGCTCCGAGGGCCGGATAGAACAGCCGAATGGGCCGGAATCGGCCCGCGGGCCGTAGTTTGCCCACGGCTGGTCTGGGGCCTTTACCTACTCTGCTAGGCTCACTTCATGAGGCAGGAATTCTCCTTATAACTGACTTCATCAAAAAATAAAACAGAAGTCCTCAGAGATCATCTGTCCTATCACTCTACAACAGGCATGTCAAACTTGCAGCCTATGGGCCACATACCTTGTTTATTTGGCCCATGTTAACCTTTGAATTTGACATACTTGCTCTACAAAGACTCAAATGGCTTGGGTTTATTCCAGAGTATGTACTGACAGCAGAGGATGGGTAACTTCATGGAGGAGATTCAGAGTGGTACCTGGAACCCTGCAATGCTATTTCTCAGTGTAGGAGCTGCTGGGAACACACACTGGACACCACAAGTGTCTCAGTTTCTCACTCAACATGAGAAGCAGCGGAGAAACTTTATCTTCCATGAGTATTAAATCGCCCTCTCCATCAGCTGGCATAGTGCCCTAGGATATGGCACATGGTCAAAATGCTTGTG